CGTAGTTTAGTACTATCCCCGAAAATTACCTCGCTCTAGTTTAGTCTAGACCGGGGCGACTAAGTCCCCGGCCTAAGCTTTTTATATATATATAGCGCGCACCTCCCCTCCCTATAGACTAGGCTATAGGGCGCCGCTCTAGGGGGGGGGGGGGCCGCCTCTTAGTATAGCTTTTACTTCCTATAGTACTATTAGGTTAAAGCCGGCCTAGTAGTAAAGCGCTAACTAAGCTAGCTTATATCTCTTCTATATATTCTAGAATAGTACTTTTAGTTATATATAAGTAGGGTCGGGGTAAAAGGGGTCGTCTATATAGGGAGGGAGGCGCTCTATCTCCTAGCGCTTCTCTATCTACTATACCTACGAATATCGTTTATACTTAGTTCGGCCTCCCTAGCCCTACTAGCCGGCGGGTATCTCGAGCTCGACCTCTTATCCCGGCGCGGTCTACCTAGTCCCCGCTTCTAGACTATAGTCGATTTAGGAACGCCCTAGGTTTCGACGGTAGGGAGCACCCGTTGCTTAGCGTATATCTAGGTATTCGCGAACCGTTAAGGTCGTCGCGGGTAGTTTTCCCTTGCCTTTTCCTAGGCTTTATTCGCTACGGGGTAGGTCTAGGTCTACGATAGGTAGTCTCCTTAGTATAAGATATAGTTATAGGGGATTTCGCCCTTCTTAGCCCTATATTTATCCTTGCCTCTATCGTATACCGTGCTCCTATATTAGCTATAGAGTTATATCGATATATATCGCCTAGTAATATAGCTATATCTATAGTAGTTATAGCACCTCTATAGTTAGACCGACTTATTATAGGGTTTATATCGGAAGATCTATACTTTAAGGACTAGGCCTAGGTTATAGAGCCTATTAGCCTCCTTTAGGCTACCGACCTTAATAAGTATAGTCGTCGCCGTCGATATCTTAGATCGGGGGCGTAGCGCCTAGGCCCGGAGGACCTTAACTTTATTCGCCTCTATAATCTTATAGAGCAATCGCTCCCTATCTACTATCGCTACTACTAAGGGGACGTTCTTTACGACCACCGTATACGCGCGGCGGGAGATCGTAGCCTCCGGTCCGAATACGGCCTTAACCTAGCCTTAGTCCCTCTAATAGGCTCTCGCCGCGGTATTAAATATAACCGCGATATCTCCGCTTTAGAGGCGCCTCGCCGCTATAGCGCTTATAGCTTTTAAGGCCGTGTTTACCGCCTTTACTATATCCTTCGGTTCGCGGCTTAGGATTTCAGGCGGTGCCCTAGTAAGGACTACGATAATCTCGCGTTTATAGCGCGGTAGGACCTATTTTACCGTAGCTTCGTATTAGGTCGGTCCCTTAGTCTCGGCCACGACCGCGGCCTAGGTTCGCTTAGGGCCCCTAGGGCCCGAAGCGATACCTAGGCGGAGTTCTTCTTTAACTGCCTCCTTAATTATATCCCGGATTATCGTCTTAAAGCTCTCGTCCGCGCGGAGCACCGCCGACGACGCGCTACCGGCGCGGCTCTTCGCCCTAGAGAGCCGTTCGACTACTGCCTATACCCTACCGAACTATACGCTTAGGATAAAGCCCGCGAGTTCGTCGTATACTGCTTTTTCTACGGGGTTGCTTAGCGCCCGGGCCGGTATCGCATCGCTACTTCGGGTTTATTGACTCGCTCTATCGGGGTGTATAAATTCGGGTGGCGTCTCTTCGCGCTACGCGCTTTAATCGAGCCCGGTGCGTCGAGGGCCGCTACCACGTCTACCTACCCCTCGGCCTCGGCGTAGCATCGTTACTAAGGGTAATTAATACTGCTAAATTAATTCTTAGTATTAGTTAGTGTTTTAGTTATAATGCGCACCCGCTATAGGCGTATATTGGTTTCGCGAGAAGTTTTCTATTAAAAATAAGGTTATACTATTATATAACTTTTATATTTATTTAATATAATTAGTATAGTATCTAAGGTATTAGCTAGTCGCGTTTAAAGTAAATATACCTTTTTAAGCTACTTAATAGCGATATAGTTATCTATCTATCTATTAAGCGACGTTATATAATACTAGTTAGCTATTTTACTAAATTCTATTAAGAACTACTATTTTTAAAGTTCTTTACCCTTAAAGATAATACTAGGGGTAAGGACACGGCCGTCCGCGGTAATAGCTTTAATAAATAAGGTCTAGTTATAAGACTATAGCCTTTTTAAAAGGGCCTTCCGTTTTAGGTCTATACTCCTAACTATAAGACTATTTAAACCTAGTAAAAAGAGTTTAGTTAGTAAAAGTAATAAAAGATAAGCTAAATACTTACTAAAGCTAGATATAATACTACCTTCGTTAATATTTATAGTATTTTATAGTTTAATCTATTTATACTTCTTTTCCTTAATATCGAAAAACTAGTAAACTGCTTAAGGCGTAAAAGTATTAAATCGGTTAGCTTCCTAACGTCTCTTATACTTAGTCTTAATATCTAAATAGCGATTAATAAATTTAGAGACCTAGTTACGCCCTACTATCCGCTTATTATTTAGTTGCTTTATAAGAGCCTCTATATATACGCGGATCTAACTATAGGAGGGAGCATAGCTAAGAGACTCTTAGTAGAGGATCTAAGAAACTAAGCGAGCTTCCTAAGACTTACTTAAGAGTTAACGAGGCTAGATCTAATTAGCTAGGGCTACCTAGCCTTTAAGTCTATCGGAAATAGACTACTAAGGTATATTATACTTTTAGGCAGCGCGGTACTATAATAAGCCGTTTTTTATAATATTAATTATCGTATTAGCTATAATATCCTCCGTATAAATACTCCGAGGCCGCTTTAAGGTTATTTTAGTTATATAGTAGAGGAATAATAAGAAGAATTATTATTAGGAGGCGGAAGGAGATTAAGGGGTTAGATAGTAATTTCGCGTGTAAGGTACGTATAGGCTATAGACCCCTATATAAACATTTAACTATCGAAAAGTAGAATTTAATTAAGTTAGCACCCCTAGCTTCCGGCACCCCCTACTTCCGGCACCTCCCTATATTACTATCGCGTTAACTACTTACTATATCGTAACCGCGTTTTCTCGTATATCTCTTATTTAATAATTATAAAATAAATATTATTCGAATTAGCGATGCCTCGTCTTTCTAAATATACCGAAAACCAGCTTTAAGAAGCGCTCGAAGCTATTAATAATAGTATACCTTAGCTCTAAGCTAGTCGTAAGTAGGGTATTCTAAGAACAACCCTTTAAACGCGTCTTAAAGGAGCCCTACCTATAAAGGAGGCAAAAGAGGCATCTTAAAGGCTTAGTCGAGAGTAGGAAAAACACCTCTATAAATAGGTTCTTGCCTAAGCGGCCCTTAGGCTGCCTCTAACGTATTATTAACTTAGGGAATTCGCCGGCCGTATTATCGTAGCTAGTAGAGACCCCCGCCCGCTTAGAAAACACTAGGTTTCGAGCTTTTTAGCCCGAAACCTAGAGATTAGCACGATTAAAGGTAAATCTCTTAATTCTGCCTATATTAACGGCGCCTCTATTAGCGGGATTAAGGAATAGTTCTAATTGCTTAAGCTGCCGGCTATATAGGCAATCCCACCGGAATCACGCTTTAATATAGACGAAATAGGCATCCTCGAGGGCCTTAGCTATAATAGGCTAGTGCTAGGGAGCTTAAAGAAGAAGGAGGCTATTAAGAAGCGGCTTAGATCGCGTTATTAGACTATAATCGTCGAATATATCTCTATAACGGGCTAGGCCTTAACCCCCCTTATAATCTTTAAGGGCTAGGACCTCTAATAGTAATAGTTCCCTAACGAACTCGATTTTCTAAAGGATTAGGACTTCGTTACTTCCCTAAAGGGCTAGATAAGCGATTCTATCGCTATTTAATAGCTTAAGTAGGTGTTTATCCCTTAAATAAAGCGCTACCTATAGGGGAACGTTCTCCTTATCGTTAATAGCCACGGGAGCTATTAGACCGACGATTTTATATATAAATACTTTAAGAATCGCATTTATCTTCTTTTTCTACTAGTATACTCCTCCTACGTCCTCTAACCTCTTAATATCTCGGTTTTCTCGCCGATTAAGGCTACCTACTAACGTTAACTTAAAAAAATCGTATCTTTCGACGATATAGCGCTAATTAGTAAGGCTACCTTCCTCTAAGCATATTATTAGGCCCGGTAGGCCGGTCTAACTAAAAAGAATATTAAGGGCGGGTAGCGTAGGTTAGGACTATAGCTAGTTAATATAGCAAAGCCCTTACTAAGCCGGTTCGTCTTACCGTAGCCGTTAACGCCGTTAACGCCGCTAAAAAGAAAGAATTCTAGTACCCTAGCTATTTACAATGCCCTTAAAACGCCTAAACGATTATAAGAAGTCCGTCGCCTTATTATAGGGCTAGAAAACCGCGGTTAAGTTAACCGTACGATCCGACTACTCTTTAGCAAGGTTGGCCGTAGCCTTAATAAGCAAAATTAGCAGCTTATAGCCTCCTAACTTCGAATATAGCAGCTAGAGCATTAATTATATCGTCTACGGCCTTAAAAACAGAAAAAGGTCCCTTAGGACCCTAATAGGCGGTTCGTATAGATTGAATAAGTTATAAAGACGAAGAAATAGCTCGAGCGCACGCTTGAGCCGGCTGCCGCCGCCATAGCCAATCAGAACGCAGGATTTAAAGCTCTTTGCAATAGCTGGCAGCTAGAGTAGCCAGAAACACCAAATTTAATTATCGTGATATTAAAATGCGGCTTTAATTGCGTTTAGAATATGCCTGCCTTAGTGCTGCGAAGGGTGCCGGAAGTGGGGGGTGCCGGAAGCTAGGGGTGCTGACTTAATCCTCTATCTACTTTAAGTGACGGCCTGTGAATATCTTTAAAGCTGGCTAGAATCGGTGTAAGTGAAATTAGTAGTTTTTAGTAGGGATATTTTCTAATACGCTACCGAAAGGTGGGTGTTACCGAAAGGGGGGTGGGGCATGGTAATTCACTATAATTTAATAGACGATCCCTCCCTAGCATGACTCTAGATACTTGGCCCACTCCTCTAGGATCGACGTCGTCTGGTCCGCATTGCTCAGCACGTCGTAGGGATCAAACACCATCAGCTCGCCCGTCTCTCTATCATACGCGGCCTGGAAATCCCCCCACTGCTCCGCCTTCCACGCCTCTCGGATCCTCCCCAGCGACCTCTTGGTCCGCTCCTTTAGCTCGGGTCCGGGATTCTCCGTCTCCATCGTCATTCGCAACCATTGTCCTCGATCGGCCGTGGTGGGGTTTTCGACTTTTTTCATTTCGACAAAGCGACCGCTGCCTCGTTGCATGTCGGTGAATTGGAGAAAGAAACCCCAGCTTTTTTTGGGCTTCGGGTCCTCATCGTCAAAGTTGGTTACCTCGCACGAAACGAAATGCGGCGGCTGTCCCTCTCGGAAGGGGCCAGGCACCGGCACCCCGGCCTTGCCTAGCCGTTGCAGGATTTCCATCTCTGTCCTCAGCTCCTTTTTCGCCGCATCGGCGTCGTCCCTCTGGACTCGGATGCAGAAGACCCAGTCGGTTGCCGAGCCGTGGTGCACGACTCGAAAGAGAAGTTTGCCGGTTCCATTGCCGAGGGTCGCGAGTGTATAGTCGGACGTCGGGTTGAAATGGAGAATCCATTTTTTGTTTGCCTCGTCACGACTCAAATCGAGCGTTTTGCCATTAAAAGCGGTTTGCAGCTCGGATAAAGTAGCCATAATGGACAAGGGGGAGAGGCTTTAGTATCCTGCCTTGCTGTCGGCTTTGACGTATCGTATCGCCCGTGGTGCAAAAGGGCGCAAGGGGAGGAGGCATGTCGAGACAAGGCAGGAAAGAGGAATCCAAGTGCGGTATATATACCCCGTATAACGGGATTCTAGCTTATGCCGTGGGATGATCCGAACGAGGGCATATGGGCCACTCCGCTCCACACCCGGCTCGTATTGGCCGCATAACGAAATAGAGTAGATAGGACGTCTACCATGGTTACCGGTGTGGCTGCCTCGGAATCAGGTGATTTCAACCCATCTATCTGTGTCACAGCACCAACCTGGCTCCGGTCACGTGCCTCTCTGTACTTAGTCTAGTCCCTGTTCCACCTCCATAGTTTGCCCTCCTCACAGCACAACGTAGATCTTCTCTGGCATCCTAGGTCTGCCCCGTGATACCTTGTAACGCATAGACTCTACCCACAAACGCGTCGGCAAGCTCATCGGCGTTAAGGGTTCGCGTCGCGATAAAGTGGCGCATCTTAGTTAGACGGCACACAATTACCAGGATATGTTTATACACAGACTGAAAGCGTTTACAGTCAGGCAGGGGCGTGATATAATCGACCGAGATATCTAACCAGGCACGAAACGGGACGGGCAGGGGTTATAGGAATCCGGGCGGGGCAGAGCGAGAAGTCTTTATACGCACACAAAGGTCGTATCCTTTTACGAAGATCTCGACATCTTATGACATTCGTGGCCACCAATATGTCCGCGTAACGAGATCAAGTGTTTTGACACGGCCAGGGTGCCCTCCTGGTCCCGATGAGTGGGTCCTGTAAATGACCTGGATCTTGGCTTCGTCGGTAGGGGGTAAAAATAGGCGGTCCCGGTAGTAAATCCGGTTACCTCGGACTTGGCAGTCCAGCATGGCGACTCGTAGCTCTCTGCTAACCGACTTAGGCCAGCGTCTGACGTCGGGGTCTCGTAATGCTGTTAGCATGGTTTGGGCGAGATCAGAGTTGTTGTAGGCCTGGTTAATAATGTCGTCAATGGGTTTCTCCAAATCGGGGGTGAGGGTGATCGCGGGGGCCGCTATCATGGGGGTCGCGTCATCGATATCGCTAAGTAGGTCTGCGAGGGCGGACGGGTCGAACCTGTCCCGGGGTAGCAGGGTCTTCCTTCGTTGCTTTAGGCGATCGTCCTTAACGTCGGATTTAGACGGTACGTCCTGGGATCGGCGGCTAAGGGCATCTGGCCGAATAGCTTTAGACCCTGGGCGGTAGACAATGCGGAAGTTATACTGAGAGAGGAACTCGGACCAGCGAACCTGGCGCTGATTTAGAACCTTGGTTGTTGTGAAGTACTCGAGGTTCTTATGGTCCGTGATGATCTCGAACTCTGACGCGCTCCCTTGGAGCTCCGGTCGCTATTCTTCTAGGGCTTTGATGATAGCGAGCAGGTCCTTATCATAGATCTCGTAATTACATTCGGCCGCGGAGTGCTTAGAAGAGAAGTACTCAATAGGTCGTAGGGCGCTATTATCATTATTCAGTCCGAAGGACTTCTATTACGACGATAACTCGAAATTCAGAATCTCTGCTCGTATTGGCCATCTGAGTCTCCACTCGACGTGGATTGGACGGCATCCCTGCCTGGTGTAACGACAGAGCCACGGTCTGTGCTGCTGGCCTGCCAACGACCCCTGCCACCAACACGTCGTGCCCCCTTATCCTTCCTCATCAAACAATCCCTCCAATCCAACATAACTAACTCCTCATGGCTGATCCCATGCCTTCAACAAATGTTTGCAGGGAGTGCAAGCAGGCGAGGCCGGCCGATCAATTCATTTCGAAGACAAAGTCTTCCATAACACGTGGAAGACTTACGGCCAACTGTCTCGACTGTAGGAATCGGCAAGCCGCACATTTTAGACAATCTAGCCTAAAATAGTCCTCGGCGCGGGCCCCTGAATTTTACGTTGAGCCCCCTTAACTAACACGTTCCTAACTAGGACATTAGTGCCTCACTTGCCGTTCGTCCTCGCCTCGTCCTTTCACACTTGTCCATGGCGCGCCGCAATAGAATGCCTTCTGGCAAGGCTAAAAACCTGAAGAGCAAAGCGTCTAAGCCTCTTACTAACGGCGATGTCGTTATGGCCTTAAAAACGCTTCTGGAAAGTTAGCTCTTCGGTGTTTTCAACGAAGGCGAGAAACTAGAGTTTCTCCGTTAGTTATACCTGCCCCTCCGCTATTTATTTTCTAAGACCACGAGATCCTCTTAAGCAAATTATACTAGGATCTAGTAGATATATTATCTTTAAGTTCCTAAGATCCTTTCGAGTCGATTTCTTCGGTGGCTTAAGGATCCCCTAGAATTCTAGGAGAGACTTATCGAGGCGGTGCTAAGATATAGCGATTAGCTGCCGAAAAATAGGGCTCGAATATTCCTTAAAGGTGCATATGCTCTAGATTCCTAGCTAGAGATCGGGCGTATCTTCTAGAGATTTATTGCCGTGTCTACTACTAGACCTTTTAAGCGTGTAAACCCGATATTAGCTGCCCGTATTAGAATAAAGTATATTACTAAGTTTCTAGAGTATATAGGTTTACTAAATTCCGAAGTAAATATAAAAAAGTATAGTAATATTCTTCGACGCGGCCGAAGAATTATTTCCTTCTACTAGAGACTAGTAGACAACAAGCAGCTAAACGACGGTGTATATAGTAACGACGATATCCTAGAGCAACCTTGCCTAGAAACTAATAATTACGGCCCTCTATTTTTCCCGGATATTCTAGATTCTATATAAGTATTTAGCCCTAAGTATTAATTATTATTAAGGAATAAGCTAACTATATTTGGTTAAGATTCGGAAGGGCTTTATAGAAAAGACGGCGTGCTATCTATATAATATCTTCGGCGCTTTAGTATTTATAAAACGTCGGAGAAATCGAACGTAAAAAACGTAGTAAATACTTTGCTCGATTTTTATACTAAATTTATTTAGATTAGTAAGAACGCTAGGTATTATATAGCCGGTAAGCAAGGATAAGAGTTATAAAAGAGTAATACGTCCGCGACGAAACGATAGCGAAGATAAGGTTTAATCGGTCGTTCTTTAAACATATACTCTATTAACTTAAGCGATAGTAATCCTTAGGAGAACACCGAAGGAGCTATAATTAGCCTAGAAACGCTATCTACTTAAATTACGTAGTTATTTACGTAATCTACTTCTAGTCTAGTTAATCGCCCTTCCGCTTAATAAGCCGTAAGCACTAACGAATATAGTACGATTTAGGAAGGGGCGCCTACTATATAGCTAAGAGAATTTAGTAAGATTATATCTTATAGGACGAGTATAAATAGTACTAAAGAAGGAGGTCGTTTATTACCTTTAATATTATTATTAACTTTAGGTTCTACGAACTTTAATAGAAGTATACTTAATATAAGTCTATTACGTAGCGAAGACTCTAGAAATTCTATTCCGCGTATTGCGTTGCCTTTTATAGCGGACGACTTTAAGTAAGGAGATAGGCCTAGATTTATATAAGAATTAAGCTTTAAGTAGCTCGAAAGCCTTATTAATAATTCTAGCGCGCCGGTCTTTAGTTTAAATAAGCACGGATAAAGAAGTAGACTTAGGCTTATATAGGAATTAAGCTTTAAGTAGCTCGATAGCTTAACCGGTTAAAAGTTCCTAAGTATAGTACTATAACTAAAAACATAGCTACCTATTATTATTATTATTATAAAGACTATTACGCTACGTAGGCAAAAGTAGAACGCGCGCTCTAATAGGTGCGCTATAATTAATATATATAACTAATAACCGCGTTTTCCGACACACCCTATTAAGGATCGCGGCTCCGCCGGGATTCCTAGATATAAGCCTACGACGTAGGAGTCGAACACTAAGCACCGCGCCTATTACCTAGGGAAATCTAAGAGAGAGAGGGGTACACGGCTATCTATAGGTATTACCCCGCAACGCGTAGTTACCGGAAGTTATAAGGGGTAGTTTGCTACCCCCTCCCGGGCTTATAACTATCACGAAAAAGATATAGCCGCCTATTAAATATAAGCGACAGCGTTAATTAACGTATATAGTATACGTAATATACCCTTTTAGGGATACTAGGTTAATTCTTCCCGGGACACCTAGATATACTAGACTATAGAGGGAATTTTTATATAGGCAGGCCCTATACTAAAACCGCGCTTAATTACGCTAGCGGGACTCGAACTATAGGCCTTTAGGTAATATACGCTAGGCTAGCTAAAAGAAGTACGTACGTAGTTACTAGGAAGTTCCCGGAGGGGTAACCCCTCCGCCTAGGCTTATAACTATCGCGAAGACTATTACGCTACGTAGGCAAAAGTAAAACGCGCGCTCTAATAGGTGCGCTATAATTAATATATATAACTAATAACTACGTTTTCTAATAATTATAAGTAGTAGTTTAATTAAATATAATAAATTATAAGAGGTACTAAGACCGAACCTACTTAACTACCTAGATAGCTATAAGGGAATATATATTATAGTACGATTAGTTAGGTAGTAAAGATAGCTAGAGGTACTACGCTATATATATTATATTCTCCTTATCGTAAGACTAAAGCTTATAAGAAAAGGGATTTCTTCTCTTTTATTAAAATAGTAAGTAGTCTATAATATATAAGTAAGGTAGGCACGATTCCCTACTAATACCCTACTAATATATTAGTACCATATACCTAAGTGCTTTATTAGCCTATACCTCTTAATAGCGCTCTTATAATTATCTCCCCTCCTATATAAACGTCTTAGCTATATCTTTAATATATATTACTTTCGCTATACTATATATATTTAGTTAGATAAAGAGGTAGTTTTAGTTATATATTATACGTATACGCTTATATAAGTATATATTAGTCTACGCTCTATAACGTTAATAGTTATTATACTAGCGGTTACTACTAAGTAACTATTATAGTATTACTTATATATTAGCCGCGTAACTATAATATAAAGAGCGTATATATATATCTCTTACTTTTTCTATTTTCTTTTCTTTTTTAACTCTTTTACTTATAATTACTATAAAGTTTTACGCTTTTCTTTTATTAATCCCTTATACCTTTTTATATTACTTTTTATTAACGATTTATTAATAATAATACCTTTTACGCTAAAGAAGATAAAGAACTATAATACCGATTTCCTACGCTATATATAAAAGTAAGTAGTAGTAGGTTTACCCTTAAAGCGTAAGCGATTAGCCTAAAAGTCTTATAGCGATACTAGTTCCCCTTTAGTAAAGAAAGCTAAGAAAGGTATAAAGGAATCTTAGTCTTAAGAGACTTCTAGTCTAAGACCTAATATTAGTAAGGGTCGTGCCCTTATTACCCCGCTAAATACCTTAACTCCGATTATTAATAAGCTTACCTCTATAAGCTAGGAAACTTATAAGTCTATTACCCCTATTAGCGATACTAATACTAGCGAGGAGATTATACTTAGGCGCTCTTAGGTAAGTACCGATAACCTAGCTACTCTATCTTAATAAGGCGGCTCTAGCTAATAAGAGATTATCGCCTAGGCCGCTCCTTAAAATAAGTAAGCTAATATTAATAATAAGGCTTAGCTAAATAAGAGCTAAGACTATTTTAATACTTAGCTAAATAAGGGCTAAGATAATAATAATAGTAATAATAAAGATAGCTATAATCCGACTCTTCCTATTAATAAACCTAAGAACGGCGGCGCTAGAGACGAGGGTACTTAGGCGGCGGTATAAAGCGGTCGCGCTCTTATAAAGTAGTATACTTAATCTAAGGCTAAAGCCTACTTAGTTAAGGCCTAGGGGGTTATCCCTTATAAGCTCTAGTATATATATTATTTTAAGATAGTCGTTAAGGAGTATAGTATAACTAAGCTTAAGCTTATTAAGGTACTCTTAATTAGCTATATTTTCTTAGGGGTTTCCTTAATACGCTATAAGTAGTACTATAGATATACCGCGACCTATAACTAAGTAAGTCTTCCTTTAACTTTAAATATTATAATTAATAAGCTAATCCTTCTTAAGGCCGCTACTCTTATATTTAGTAACTAGGCTAATATAGTCGCTATTATTAAGTACCTATATAAGCTTAATAAGCTAAAGACTAGTAATAAGGATATTAAGGATAATAGCTTAGATATAGGTATACTTATTTTCGAGGAGGCTAATTAGCGCTATCTCGCTATTATAGTATAGTATTTAGCTAAGGCTTTTAACGCCGCTAAGATAGTATATTATAAGTCCTTTAGGACTATAGGTATATAGAAGTCTACTATTATAAGTTTTATCTAACCTTTTTATTAGCGACCGCTTAATAATATACTAGGTTAAGTATACTAACTACTATATATTAATTAATAAGCGCTATAAGCTTATTATTTACCTTAACCCTACGCCCTTATTTAATATCGCTTATATAAGCCTAGAGTACTAAGCCTAGGAACCTTAGTTAAAACTCTACTTTATTAATAGCGATATAGGCTATACTTT